TCTCTCTCTCTCTCTCTCTCTCTCTCTTCTCTCTCTCCTCCTCCTCTCTCTCTCTCTCTCTCTCTCTCTCTCTCTTTCTCACGTTCAGCTTTCACGGTTCGTTTTCCATCGACTGCTCGGCTCGCCCCTTTTGTTCTCGTCCGAGTCATTTACTTTCCTCCGCATCTTTGACCGTGAATCCAAGCCACGCCATTTACGCCACCTACGTAGCGAATATCGTTATTTACAGTTCACCTTTTTGTGCCCTTTTATTCGATCAATAATTTCGTCACTTCGATAACGTATATCGTGGCATAGCATTACCATATTCCACGAACTCTTCACAATTTTACTTATAATTTCCTTGATGCGAGTTCCATTAAAATTATTATATTATATAAATTTAAATTTCGATTCTCTTTCTCTGTTTTTTTATTGTTGCTGTATCAAATGTACAAAGAAAATTATACTTTCAATCTTCGTATCTTCGTTGGTAATAAAAAAAAAGAAAAAATAAAACGAATAAAATTTTCAAGACTATACGATATCCCACTTGCAGCAAGATTATATACTGTCTGTACACAGGAGAGAAGGAATGGTATGAAAAAGTTGTTGGACAACGATCCTCCCCGAGTGACATCACATTTAACAATGTTAAAACCGCCCTATTAATCTCGAAAGGGTTAATTCTCTCCGTCGTTGTCTGGCGGAATCAACGATCACGGCACATCGTTGCATCGTTCAAAGTCGACGTGTGTATCAATGGTCGATCGGCACACCTGCACACCGCGAGTCAAGCTGCCATCCATACTGGGCAAACAGACAGGTCGAGATCCGGGATGGAAGCCGATGAGCAAAATTCGATGACCTATATACCAGATGCACAATGCGTCCTCCGGGCACAAAGGGCATACGGGGAGATACCCAAGTGCCTCGCGACTCTCCATATCGATTCAAAATCAATACGGCGTATCTCGATGATGTGTCAACACAAAGGGACCCGAAGCCATCCCCCTCCCCTGGCCATCCTTACAATTGCTTCTTGTATCGAAGCCAACTAAACGCCGCGAAGACCGACCGATTCTCGCATCGATTCCATGCCTTTGAAAACTGTGGGCCGTCCGAGGATGGCCCAGCTGCGACTGGCTAGTCTGCGAATCGAATATCTCGCAAGTGTCGACCGATAGATACTTCGGGGAACTCTCTCGACGTTGTTCAAGCTTCGGATACATGCCTTGGATTCTTGGATTATATTTTAGCGGTATTTTAGACAGATCGTTGATTAATTTGCGAGATAGTCGGTTTCAATGGTTTTAATTGGCTGCAAGAAATTATTTGTGTTTACAATTAAAAGGAGAATTGAAAAGGAAATGAAATTGTTGAATGTTTGAGTATGACGATCAACAGAGATATAGATTATCACCGTGTAATAATTTAGATGTAGCGATTTGTTGGAGTACTTGGTATGAACTCTTGGTAATACTTTTCATCGACTTCAATGGTGTAGACAATGTTGTAGACAAGTATGCATTCAGAATATCGGCAAGACAGATGATATCCACATTTTTATTCTGACAAAATTTTTGGAATATTGATAAAAGTTATCACTCGCGAAATTATTCTTGATTGTTATAAACGGGAATTTTTCTTTTTAGACATTTTCTTTTATCAATCTTGTGATTTCTATCAGAACTCGATTCTTTATCGACACGATGTTTGCTCGCAGCGTAAAATATTTATACGAGACAAACAGATTTCGACTTGGTAAACTTGATAGAACGTCTTCAACAAGATTTTTGTTTGCTTACAGAACGAAAACAGAGCCCTGCGACTGAAGGAGCCTGCATCGTTGGCTCTCTCCGCCGGAAATTCCGGCAACTACGTGGACCCAGATGGCACCGCCATTGTGATGTCATCCGAGCTGCTACCTGCACCCACCCCGGATCCAAGGGTGACGTGGAACTACTTCGACGAGCAAGGGTAAAATCAAATCATCATCATTCTGACCATTATTCCATATTTTTTCCTTTCCTATCGAAAATCTTCAAAACTTTCACTTATCTGCTATTTGTTTCTTTCTCCTACTCCTTAATACCAGTCTCAAAACACGTGGTTTTGGTAAATTCATAAATCAATGGATGAGCATCATTTTATTCTTAGACAGATGAATTGAAAATTTATGACTATTGTCTGCACTACAAATTTATTTATTTATTTTTTTTTTCCATCTATCACGTTTCATAATAAAAATCCAGTTTCACAATATATATATATATATATATATATTCTTCTTCCAATATAAATTGTCGGTGAAAAAAAACGAACGAACATTCGTTCTCAACGTTCGAACCAATTCAAACAATCATCATCACAAATCAAGATCATTTTAGAACGAACGATACATCTCTGGCAGAAAAATTGTATCAATTCTTTTCAACAAATATCGAGAGGATTTACAAATATTTTATCATCGATCACATTCGAAAGCATTCGAGGCGGGTTGATTGTAATTTTAATTTAAATTTAAATGAATATTTATATACCATGTGTAATGCAAAATTTATTCAATTTCACCATCGGATAAATAGATCTCATTGATTCTAATTCATGATGCGATGCCATAGAAAGTATTTGGAAAGTGATTGGAGTGTAATCTCGATGCAAGCCCCAAGAATTGAATACCGACTCGTGACGGCCGTATGCATTGTTAAACGTCCGAAAAACCATCGCGAGATTTATTATTAAATATAACCGCTAGGGGAAATGCAGAATTTGATATCCCTTCTGTGCATATTAATCGTTTCATTCGCTTGTCGGATCGTATTTGCAAACAACGTTTCTTTCCACTGTTGATGAACAAGATTTGTATATTCGTCAATATACAATAAAAATTACAAATACGTATTTTCAGATATGTTTCGAGAGGAGGATTACGAGCAGGAGAGGATCCATATGCTAGGAACAAATTTAACCAGGAAGCTTCCGACGGGCTTCCCAGCAATCGCGATATTCCTGATACCCGCAGTGCGATGTGAGTAAATTATTCTTTTGTAATATTAATATTTTTAATTCTATGAATTAATCCTTCATATATCGCTAAAAAAAAATATCCTTTGGCTTTTGAAAACTGGTTCATTCAATGCGAATCGAACAATAATCGAAATATTCGACAGCTCGTATTTGTCCCAAAAAAAAAAAAAAAAAATAAAATTCTTAAAAGAGAAGTTCGTTTAAAATGAAATACGAACAAGTCCATATTCGTCTCGATATTACGACGATCTTCAAGTCGATCGAGTGATAGACACGGGGAGACACGTCAATGTTCGAGAAAGCAAACTCGAGAAAATTTTACGGTGAATATCCACGAGTGAGTGGATCGCAAATCGGAGAGATGCAATTGATGGATTCGAGGCGAATGATGAGAGAAATAGCAAAAGGCCCAATGAGAACAATTAAGAGAAGGCAACATTTGTTCTGCCGATCGATCAACCCTTTCATACACTATTATCGTACCCTTCTCGAGCAATTAAACAAGAGGTATCCGTCCCAGGTGATTGCGAAAATTGCGGCTCATCATTGGGAGCATATGGACATGTCGATGAAGCAATTTTATATTCGAGAGGCGAACAGTCAACGAAAACGTCATTCGAGAACAGTGTCTAGGAGGAAATAACAGGTTTGCCTGTGAATTTTTTTACATTCTATGATATACGAAGACGAATTGATAATTATTCGCAATTTATTTGTGAAAGCACAATCAAAAAATAGACGAAGGATGATAATGGTGATAATTATTTTTGTTTCAATTAATTTATCCAAATAAATGGAAAAATAATTCGATATGAAAAAAGCTTGTGGTAAAATTATTATACATTTAGTGCTCGTTTGATTAAATTAACTTTCACGTTGACTACATTAAATTATTATATTTTGAATCATTTTTAAATTGCTTTCGATTCAAACACATTTGAGAAAAATATCCGTATTGCGTAATGGTAAATCTACCATTGTAACAAACAACGGGAAAATAATAAAATGTAATAAGATTATTGTAAATTATTAAGGTAAAATGTTTCATTCGAGCAACGAAATAATCCAGAAAAAAAATCACTTGCTTCGAATAATCTGAAACATTTCAAATATCTAGCCAAATATTATTTTAATGATCATTTTCCAAATATTTAATTTCATAAATAATTGCGAATAATTGTTAACTCACCCTTTGTATATCCAACAATCTCGTTTCGAATAATTCGACACATTTGTTTCCTCTTTCACGCAGGTTCTGAACACTATCGACATATCAAAATAGAAATTCGTGTCTGTATGAAGTACTGACAATTGGTTCACGTGAAAAATTTATTTGATCGTCGTAATGTCCACGTTTGAAAGAATATTCGTTTGTTGGAAGAAGAAAATTGCAACGAGGTACAGAAGAATCATCGGTTGGAGGACGAATATTTCCCCAATATATTTAATCTTTCGATTGTATCGTCCAATATTTTATATCTCTCTTGATGTTTCGTCGTATCTCCCGAGTCATGTGTTGTGAATTATGTATCGTATATATACAAACAAATCTTCATATAACCTGCGTTATCATTCGTTTCGTTTTCAGTCTCGTAGAAAAGCAGATCTTGATTATGATCCTGAGTTTCATCGAAACGATCGACGACTCTTGATCAAATACGACCATTTTTCATCTTTCCACAAAAGTGCATGAATTAAAGACGAGATAATCGTCAAAAGGAAATGAGAGATGTCTCTCGTCTTAATCGAAAAACATTCAAATTTTCTATTTTTAAAATTCGTATCCTTTCTCTTTCCTCTTCTCGATTCTGGATGAAGTTGCGGAAAATCCTTCGATTTCATTTCTTTTTCTTACACATACAATTAAAGACCTTAGGAATCGTAGTACTCGAAGAAGAACGAAACATGTCCAATCAATGTCAATCTACGAACAATTTACTTTTTGTCTTAATAATCACATATGCTTGAACATATACATAATTCTGTGGTATAATAGGTGACAAATCGAAAAGATGGTAATTTCTCTCCAACAAATTAGAGAAATCTCTTTAAACAAGAGAAGATTGAGAAATCCCTTTGCTGTTCTTTCTTCTGGTCGAATTACAGATTCGATGAGACCTCGCAAACTGGCTTGGAAATCACGATTCCAGAAGGCCATCGAGAGAATTGAGTTCACAAAGTTTAGAAATCCGACGGTTAATGATATTACTTGGTTTCCATGGCAAATCCACCTCGAAATTTCCCTTTTATCTCACGTTTTTACGCGTAAAAAAATAAATCACGCTTCGAATTTCTATCCATTCTAACGATACATATTCTCAAGAATTTAACTTATTATGAGATAAGATCAAGCTCATTTACATTTACAAATTTGAACACGAAAATCCGGTATTCTCTCTCGTTTTTTCGATTTTTCAATCTCGAATCATCAGTTCGATCTCAACAACAAGCGAGAACGAGTAACACGGAGCAGCATATTTTCGTTTTATTTCGCGAAATTTCACGCGGAACAGGACGAATTAATTATCGAACGAGGTTGGAAATAAATTCTGTGTCCATTCAACCAGCCGGTAATCAATGGTTAATGGAAGCAATCTAATTTCGGTAGTGGTGTCCGTTACTTTTATGGACTCGTAATTTATTCGCTGTTTGCGCGTCGAATAAAGCTTCTCTCCATCTCGCGTGGATGCTCGATTTATAGAGCGTATTTTATTAATTGAAACATGTTCGAAACGACGACAGTAACCGAAAGAAAGAGGAAAAGAGAGAGAGAGAGAGAGAGAGAGAGAGGAGG